AAGAGTTGTTCTGTGCGGGAATCGAACCCGCGACACGTTGTACGGCAGCCAGTTGCCCAGCCACCGCACCAACCGTGCAGTCAATCGGAGTAGTGTATGTCCATAGACGTGCTTTGACTCCTAATTCCAAATAAAAAAATCAGGATTTGCAGCAGCAGATCGTCCCATGAAATGAAGTACAGTCATATAACATTTGGGCTCTAAGTGGCGCTAGTGTCGACTTTTGGCCGCGACACTTCATTTCAATGAAGTGTACAGTTAGTTAATGGTTGCACAGCTGAGGTTCAAAGGTCTTCCTCCGTTAATCATCATCATCATCCGTTTTGGAAGGCACGTCACTTACCTTGATCTTAAGCTCTTTGTATTGAAACACTGCTAATTACTCTGCGGATATTTACTCTCTACCTAACCTTTGATTTTTAAATATTTCATAGTCAAAGTTAGCTATAACAATAAAAACATCATATTTATGTATATAATGTCAGTTGTGGTTCACCGCAGAAAACGATGTACGGCGCGAACGTGATCATCTTCGAGGGTATACTGGCGTTCTACAACGCTGAGGTGACCAAGATGCTGGACATGAAGGTCTTCGTAGACACCGACGCGGACATACGACTCGCCAGGAGACTCCGGAGGTGGATGTGACTTCATATCTATAACTGCTAGATAGACTACTTTCAATTTTAATTAGTAATAAAGAGCGTGTTGGGTTGACAAAAATCAATCTACTATATGATTCTCAGGCACCTATTATTGGTGCCTTAAGTGGTCAACCAACCCTCACTGAGATATTTGCATTTCGCCCTTATACTTCCCAAAGTATAACAATAAACTCCACCTCATGAAACCAAACATAACATGTATTTAGTTCTCAAACAATAAGTGAACTAAAAATAATGGTGGATAAGGAAATCATCTGTTGGATCCGCGATTCGTTAGTATAAAAAGTTAAAATAATTAATTAAAAAAAACTTATTGAAGTTTTTTTAATTAATTATTTTAACTTACTTATTTTACTTTAACTTTCACAGACAGACTCCCGCTTCAATAAGTCACGTCAAATATACAATATTTTTTCTTCTCAGTTGATCTAAAAACGTTGGTAAAATAAGTAAGTTGTTTGAGTCACCTGAACTTAAAGCAATTATTAAAAATGTTTACTCTCATCGGAATATCAAAGTAATATATCGTCATAATAATGTTTTAAAACACAATTACTGTCGGCCATGTTGGCAACTAGCCAGCGTTAGTCAACGTTTACGAAATTATATAGCGACAGGTGTCAGAAACAAAACGTTTGGAGGTAAAGTCCAAACTTAATTGCAATTCTGCCATTTAAATATCAATTTTATCAGCCTATAAATGCCTTCTGCTGAGCAGAGGTAAACGAGATCTTATCTTTATTTGCAAAATAGAGCATATCTGTATTTTAATATTGCTTTCTGTGCATTAAACGGATAAAGACCGAATCTGACTTTATAAAAAATCAAATAAAATATTTAAAATAGCAAACTGGTAGTCATTTTTTTTTATCGTGAACAGAGACATAGTCCAGCGTGGGCGCGACCTGGAAGGCGTGCTGAAGCAATACATGACGCACGTGAAGCCTGCGTACCAGAGCTACATCGCGCCCTGCATGGCGCACGCGGACATCATCGTGCCGCGCGGCGGAGAGAACAAGGTCGCCATACATCTCATCGTGCAACATGTACACAAACAGCTCCAGCTGGTGAGTTACTGCAACACTACGCAGCGTACTGTAACTATACTATAGAACAAGGTCGCCATACATCTCATCGTGCAACATGTACACAAACAGCTCCAGCTGGTGAGTTACTGCAACACTACGCAGCGTACTGTAACTATACTATAGAACAAGGTCGCCATACATCTCATCGTGCAACATGTACACAAACAGCTCCAGCTGGTGAGTTACTGCAACACTACGCAGCGTACTGTAACTATACTATAGAACAAGGTCGCCATACATCTCATCGTGCAACATGTACACAAACAGCTCCAGCTGGTGAGTTACTGCAACACTACGCAGCGTACTGTAACTATACTATAGAACAAGGTCGCCATACATCTCATCGTGCAACATGTACACAAACAGCTCCAGCTGGTGAGTTACTGCAACACTACGCAGCGTACTGTAACTATACTATAGAACAAGGTCGTCATACATCTCATCGTGCAACATGTACACAAACAGCTCCAGCTGGTGAGTTACTGCAACACTACGCAGCGTACTGTAACTATACTATAGAACAAGGTCGCCATACATCTCATCGTGCAACATGTACACAAACAGCTCCAGCTGGTGAGTTACTGCAACACTACGCAGCGTACTGTAACTATGTAAATTGGAAAAGTGATTGAACTTAAAGATTTCGGCCAATGGACTTGCATCCAAAGCCAAGTGCTATAAATAAAAAAAAAATACTGTAACTATACTATAGAACAAGGTCGCCACGTTGTGTATTACTGTTTTTCATAATTATACATATAATTAATGTTAGCCGCATTAAAAAGTCGACATCATCATCAGCCTGAATCCGTCCACTACTGGACATAGATCTTCACGTCTTGCACGCCATTGAGCTTGATGTTCAGCTCTTCTCATCCAACCACTGCCAGCCACCCTGCGGATATCGTCAGTTTACCGAGCTGGAGGGCGCCCTACAATTATTTTTTTCCTGAACGTAGTCTAAGATCTAAAAACTAGTAGCCATCCAAAATCAGTGCTAAAGTATCCAATTGATGTATTATTACAGCGCGGGTTCAAGGTACGTGAGAAGCTGGCGATCGCCCACATCGGTCAGCCCGTGCCGGACTCACTCTATGTACTCAAGGAAACTCCTCAGGTACCAACTTCTTCCGTTTATTAACACAATACATTCGTCTTTTGCGAACTTGAAACATGAATACGAATTTAAGGTACAAATCGAACATATACATGACCTGACCTCAGATAACGTAGGATAAAGAACATATTGAGATTATTAAATCACATCACATCACATCATTAGCATATAAGTACCCACTGCTGAGGAAAGGCCTTTTCTCACAAGGAGATGCCGATTATTGGCCGAACATACAGATAAGCTAAAATGTATCAATAACACCTTTTTGTACTTATGTTCACGAATAAAGACTGATTTGATTTGATTTGAGAAGGTTTGAACATTATTTGCCATGCTTGCTTAAGCTGGATTGGCGATTTCAGACTTATGATTAGGAAATATAAGATTTTTCTCACGATATTTTCGTTCACCGTATTTCAGTGGTGTCTAAATAATCATAGAAAGTACACATACCCCGGGAGAGTCACATTAAGAATTGCAAAGTTTCGAACCTTCATGAATGAGAAGCGGGCGCCTTAATCTCTGGGCCACCACACCAAACTATTTTATAAATAATAATTATTATTACCTGTATCCAGGTGCAAGGTCTCCACACATTTATCCGCAACAAGGACACTCCACGCGACGAGTTCATATTCTACTCCAAGCGGCTGATGCGCCTGGTCATAGAGTTCGCGCTATCCCTGCTCCCGTACTCCGACCTGGTGGTAGATACTCCTCAGGGTTTCTCCTACAAGGGCCGCAAGTGCGACGTCGAGAAAATATGTGGAGTGTCCATCCTGAGGGCTGGGGAGACCATGGAGCAAGCTGTCTGTGATATCTGCAAGGACATTCGCATCGGCAAAATACTTATTCAAACCAACCAACAGACTGATGAGCCGGAGGTCAGTATATCATTTATCTGTTAACTTTTTTTTGTCTTTAAACAATTAATGTGGCCTTATTACCCATGATAATAGGCCAACTCCTTCGCACCTTGTATTACCAACGAAAATTATATTATAAAAAACTAATAAAATAAACAAATAATATTTTATTGTGACTGTCCTTTGAGCTGCGATGTAAAAGAAAAAAAAAATATTTTAGAAAGTCCCTTGTTCCTCTATTTGACGATTCTGAGAACAGCAAAGCAAATAATGAACTCACAATATTAATGTTAAAAAACCTACAGAAATAACTAATCCTGTAAGATAAAGAAAAGTATAATGTAGTAAATTAGTTTTTCTATTTTCCTAATTCTCTTTACGCAGTCAGTTTACATACATATCTGTATATTCTAACTCTCCCATAGCGGGCCTGCTGGAAGAGATTTCAGAAGAAATAAGCTTTGCCTTTGTACCTAGATGTTGTATTATTGTTCTTGTCTAACTTGCTGTGTACATAAAATATAAAATAAGTATGATTTGCCTACAGCTGTACTACCTCCGGCTGCCGAAGGACATAAAGGACTACCGCGTGATCCTGATGGACGCGACGGTGGCGACGGGCGCGGCCGCCATCATGGCCATCCGCGTCCTGCTGGACCACGACGTGCCCGAGCACAACATCTCGCTCGTCTCGCTGCTCATGGCCGAGATCGGGGTCCACTCCATCGCGTATGCCTTCCCACAGGTAATAAAATAACAGTTTTCTTATATTTCTGAGTAGTAAGGTTAAAAATTGGTAAGCCGGTAGTATACATAAATTAAATTGTATTATTAAAAGTGATTGCATTTTTTATTACATGACTTCAAAAAAATCTGTTAAACAACCTTTGGATGAAGTAGAAACAACCTCTAATGAACCACAAAACGTCCCCCAAATTCGCCAAACGTCCCTATTATTATTTATGGTATTAAGCGGCAGATGAGACGACGTATCGTTTGGTTGCAAGCAATACCTACAGCCGGCCTACAAAACCTGAGGAGTTACAAATACTGGGGTATACCCTAATAGGAAATTAGAAAAATAGGAACACTGGCTCTCCAGTAACCTCCATTATATCACGCTGGTTTTCTGTGAGATCTATACCAAATTATTGTATATATACCTACTTTAAGACAAAATCAATTGCTATTATTTATAGAAACACACAAAACCTGCCATGTCTTTATGAGAAGTGTGCTAAATTTCGTTTCATCGTCTTTGCAGGTAAAAATAGTGACATCAGCGCTGGACCCAGAGATCAATGAGAAGTTCTACGTGTTGCCCGGTATTGGGAACTTCGGGGACCGTTACTTCGGCACGGAACCTGCTGACGATGAGTGAGGCGGTCACCATAAACGGAAGATTTAATCGTCAATAAACCACAGAACACAGGTAACTAGTATACCTAGTCTACTGGACTTGAAAAAGATAAATTAATCTTATTTATTTTAAAGATAAAAATCTTTTTTCTTGTCTTTTTTGCAAATGGCAATTTAAGTCGTTACCGCGTGTTTTTGTTTCGATTACGATTTAAAAAGTACGACTAAGCCGTCTTTTGTAGCTGTGGTTGATTTAGTACGGAGTTTTTTATTTGACTTTATTTATAAATGTACTTATAATGAAATTTTGTACATTGGTGACACATTTCTGACGTATTTTCGCCACGAAATAGAAGCATGGACTTAGCGATACTAAAGAAAATAGGAATTCTCCTTAAAGACGATTGACATCCTAAGATTTAAGGACCTGCGCGTATACTAGTGAAATTAGTGTACAAATGTAAGGCAAAAACATTTGTATAAAATTTAAAAAAAGAACTAAAAAAATATGCTGAAAAGCATAGATGTTAATGCCACGAGTAACGAACAAATGGAGTGTCAATTTCGCATTGTTTAGAATGAAATCTATCTGTGTCTTTAGATGGTGTTATCACTCCATTTGTTGTTTAAGCCGTGGTGTGTAATTTTAGTGAATATAGTTGTGGACTGGCCCCGTGTATTTATTTATTAATCGTAATGTTTACACAATGTAAGTAAGTTCGGCATCTTGCTATGGAAGTGGTGGAAAAGTTTTTAGTACCTCTAGTGTATTGTATTCCCGTCCAATTGATAGGGGTATAGACAGAACACTGCCAATTAAAGCAAGTTAATACATATTAAAGTATATAACGCACATTAGTAGATAACATTACCGAAAAAAATCATTATAAAAATGTTCGCTAAACCACAACACACTACATTATTGTATGGCAAAGGAAATTTAACCTTATTAGCTGTTATTACAACATAAATTCTTTTATCCCTATCAACTTTCCGAATGCCTCCGTTCTGAACAAGCTAATTTCAACTTAAGAAGCAGAATATTATCTGAATGTTTCACTTCGTTGCAAGACACAATAAGGCTCAAATTGCCATAACAACGTAATACATTATGTATTCGCTTATATTATATACACGGAGGAACTAAAGGCGAGAGGTTGTATTAATATCTAGTCCGTAGTCTATGCCAACTAACGTACAAGTCGCCTCGATCTCCAGTGTCCAGGATCTATTTACATGTGGATTTGAAATTCGTTAAACCAGTCATTAATAAATAGAATTTTATTTTTAAAAATAAGAAAGAAAATCATTTGAAACCTTTATTGCTAAAGAAGTGTCTACGTAAACATTTTTCAAATAATCAAGTCTTTAATTTCCCGCCCAAAATTCCAAAACGCACGCTTTTAGTGGAACAAAACGACGCCATCGTTTCCAAAGTCACTGACATCTACATACAATCGAATTTTGATGAATATCGATATTCGTCATTAGAAAAATAATTTAAAAGATGAATAATTTCATCTTAACTAGTTGCCCATTTCAGTAATAACAAGTTATTTCATTAACCATATCCACAAAAATGTTAATATTTATTCACAGCTTAGCATCCTCGAGCGAGTCACAAATATATTGTAACATTTTAGCCAAAGAATAGTTCCTATCGAACTAGAACGTATTGTAGGGAACAAAATAAGTATACTGTCGATTTTATGCTTTCTGGGGACACACGATAATGTTTTTAACCAAGAATTATTTATAATTAGCTGACCGAACTGGCGAACTCTGTACTGCCCCAATTATCACTACAAGTTCGGATCTTTCAAACCTTCCCAAAAATTATCCAAAAGTAACCAGCTATTCTCGAGTTTTAGCGAACAGAGAATAACGATAGATATATTTAAAACGATAAAAGTATTTTAATACTGAATACTTTATTTATTAATTAGCATGCTCATCTATAATATCCCACATACTGGTTCGTATTGAAAAAAATCTATGTAAAATGTAATGTTCATAATATTTCATTGTATTTAAGTTAAAATAATTAAATCTACTAACATTTTATACGTAAGTATAGCTCTCAAATACTAGAATATTGAATTTAATTCGTGCGTTTGTCGTGTGCACCCAAAAGGCGTTACTTAGAAACATACTTCCATAGTAACTTGCCCAATTGGCTGATAACTAGACTGGTATATTAAAACGAATTATTCGCTCTAACTGGGTTTGTTAGAAAGAGGTTACTGAGAACATGCTTGAATACATAACTGAAATTTAACAACGCGCCTGTGACTTCTCTGGTGTAACGGGTGGCCATGGGCGGCGCTGATCACTTACCCTCAGATGATAAGTAAGCTTGTTTCCCTCATATGCCATAAAAAATGATTGATGTGAGTTTAAATAAGAGCTCCAAGCGTGGCTTGTAACAAGTCGAGATTTTTTGTCAGAGTTGTGTGAGTAAACCGTCACATATAATATAATGATTAATATAGCTAAAAACTTATGAAGAAAATTCATACAGATAACTTGTACTTAATGGATTACTTTACGTTGTGATTTAGTCTGTGTTTTTTCTTAATGTCCTGGTTCTGATCAATAATAATAATGTTTGAAATAAACAATCGATATTCTTATAAGTTTTTTGTTGGGTTTCCTCTTTTTAACAAACCCTTGTAATATTTACGAATGCGTTACATAAGTCGTTGCTTTTTATTTAAATTGTATTTGCTATAAATTGACGTTGTAAATTATTGTAATCAATTCGTCGATCTATTTATAAAAATTAAATTCATCATTAATTATATAGATTGTCATAAAATGCTTTCTATTTAAAGTAAAGTTTTAAATTCCGTTTTGCATAGGTACTAAAAAATAATATTTTGTTACTATATTCAGTTTAGTAATTAATGAAAATAATTTAGTCATCCCGCATTTTATTAATTGTAGCTTTCACAACTTATTTTGCATTCGTAATTTTTTTTAATAACATTGTTTATTAAATTGACTATAGTTCTAATATAGACGCCCGCAGACAAACCTACCCTATTCTGCTATGCCTCTAGCAATGGATTTTCGACTTAACAACAAACTGATGAGTTGAAGATCTAATATAAATATTTGACAGATGAGGGTAGCTCAATGTGCAAGCGTTTTCACTCATCATTTTGTTCCCTAATGAAAAAGAGCTAAATATTTTTCTAGTATGTATTTTTGCTATAGAAATCTTTCAAGAACATTATGTAACGTTCTATACGTAACATAAGAGACTTTGAATTCAGGCGAGTGATGAAACGATTTTGAACCTTATATTTACTGATACTTCCAAATATAAGAACTGCGCGATATCAAAATGTAATTACAGTCGATAATCGTTTGTAGTTATATCACTAGCCAGTACAGTTTCATTCCTAAGTATATCTTTGTGTTCTGCCATTTTGTTCCTTCAGTATTAGGATATATTAGCTATTTTCCAATGAAATGTTTTATGAATCCTTTTTGTATGTATATATTAGAGGAATTGGCATTTTGTTTTAAATTAGGAGACCTCGCTTTGTGAAATGTGAAATAAAATCAATCATGATATTATTTAGTGTAGCTTTTAATATTTATTTTGTAACAGTATTCGTGTACTGTGCTTAGATATAAGTTTATAGTAAGTAAGTCGACTTAATGAATGTGCTTAATTCTTTTTTATATTTTTGGCGTCGCCATTTTTAGGTATATTTTTGTCTCTTTATGATGTAGGTTGTTCTGCCTTGAGAAATCGGGCGCTGAACTCGATTATTATTTATAAAAAAATATGAATTACTAAGTTATTATTTAGAGGTGAACAGAGCAGTAGATGTTAAATATTTCACTCGAATTTAATGACTTGATACAATTGAAATATATGACGACTTGCTTCCAAGCTTTGTGACTCTTTGAACCCCTTACAACTTCATAATATATGTATTATATTATCTAATATACCACATTATTTTGTTATGTAATATTTGAAAAAGCAGTTTAAACGTGTTACATAAATATGCATTTAACTTAAGACCAGGCTTTATTTCCTACAAGTTGTCGTGGGTTCAAACATTCAATAAACAATATATACACATAATAACTATACATGGTTGCACAATGGCGTGTACATTATTTACATAATTTGTATCTAGCTATTTGTATAGAATGTAAGTCGCTGTGAATATTATGAAGAAAAATACAAAAAAAACAAGAAATAATCTGAAAATAAGATGCAAAATGAAATAAAACACATTGAAATATTTATTTATTGTTTTCTTTATTATGAAATGAGTTGATACTACTCTTATAGGTACCCAGTTAACAGCAATTTATCAATAAGAGAATTTGCCTGTCAGACGAAACATCTGTCTTGACTTGTAAAGAACTCAATTATGATTTTTTTAACTTTTTGTTGAGTGTTAAAAATACAGTTTTCCTAATTTAAAGGTAAGGTGTTTTAATTATGTGAATAGATGGGAAAGAATAGGAAGAAGGAACGAAAGAATGAAAGTAGAAATGTTACATAGACTTTCGTTTATGTTACATAGACAGTCAGTATTAGTGTCCATTAGCAGTTAAATAAAAAACAAAGTCTATGTTGAAGAAATAAGACAGAAGTAGAAAGGAGTATAGAGAATTTTAAAGAAATTCCAAAGCAGTTGCTTAGCGCAAGTATGAAATGATTTTATAAACCTTTTCTTATATAGTTTTTTTTTACTTATTACTTATATCAGCTATCATATATGGTCGCAGGCATCCAGGTGCCTCTGGAACACCACGTCCAAATGTTCGTACTTTGATGATGGCACGTCTCCATGTGGTTGGTTCTTTCTGCAACGAAGAAATAATTAGGTTAAAAAATATTTCTACAATTGAAAATTGTTTCCCCCACTTTATGAACCACAGGAAATCGATAAGTTATACATTTCAGATCTTTGTGTGGGAAGATGGGTCAGCTCGACCAGATTTATACCAGGATACCGGCATGACGCTACTCTCATGTCGTGTTTCGCCGTTTGGAGCTAGACTCTCCCCCATTTTCAATCCTTACATCCCCAAATGCCTTCAACCCACAAAACGCCGAAAACGAACTTGTTGTAACTCTTTTGGTGTTTCAAGAGACCATAGGTGGCGCTGATTGCTTACCATCAGTCACAATGTTTGCTGACCTACCGTCCCCTGAAAAAAATCTTTAATGATTCAAAACCTAATTTTGCACCATATTCTTTTAAAAAATAGCATTTGTATCCTTACTTATAATATTCTTCGCATTCCTCCATAGAGATGTCGCTGCTAATAATACGAGACCCGATACCGCTGTAGTACGTGGAATAACGTTGCTGGAATAAAATAAAAATATAAGGAAGTTGTCTTATGAAACAATTAACATTTCTTCTTCAACTTTTTCGAATAAGTCTATGGATCTACAGCTCACCTTAAACGTTATTTGATTGCACGGTTGGTGCGGTGGCTGGGCAACTAGCTGCCGCGCAGTGTGTCGCGGGTCCGATTCGATTGACGGAACAACTGTGTGTGATCCACAATCTGTTGTTCTGGTGTGATTGTTATATTTGTAAACGCACCCGCGACACGGGAGAACGTAATAGAGAGAGGCAAGGTTTAAAAAAAATACAGGTTTTGATCCTTACCTGCAGATGTTTAGAAAGTATTTGTTCAGCGATCACAGTGCACGCCATTCTCAATGCTTTGGCTAAAGCGTCGATATACTTGACGTACATTGTAGTCAACTCACGCAAGTCACTGTCTCGCCGAGGCACTAGTTTCAAGTTTATACCGCCAGGTGGCGTTGAACCCTGTAAAATTGCGAAATAAAAAAAACTACTTATCTTTGTTTAAGGTAACTTAAACTAATTCAGGGTATAACCTATCTACAAATCAAATTTTAGCCAAATCGGTCTATCCGTTTTTGTGAAAGAATCCATACATTCTCTCAAACATTCACATCTATATATATAAAAGAAAGTCGTGTTAGTTACTCCACTTATAACTCAAGAACGGCTGAACCGATTTAGCTGAAAATCGGCAGGGAGGTAGTTTAGAGCCAGGAGAAGGACATAGGATAGGATAGAATAGGTCAGGTAGAGTAGGGTAGGTAGAGTAGGGTAGGAAGTGTAGGGTACATAGAGTAGGGTAGGTAGAGTAGGGTAGGTAAAGTATGGTAGGTAGGGTAGGTACTCAAATGACGGGAGCGACGCCGCGGGTAAGAGCTAGTTGATAATATAAGTGCCTAGAATATATTTTGTCAATTTTTTTAATTACAGTTTTACCTTATTTATGAAGAGGTATATGATGCTTAGAAAATACTAAATTTATATTTACACGTAATAGTTTGTGTTGCTAGGTATATATTTATTGTGCGTGACATGATCACCCACCTGGTCTACGATACATTTCATCATCAGAGTAAGTCTTCTGCTATCGTAATGATCCCAATCATTTGTTACTGTCACGCCGCCCAGCATATTGTATCTAAAACAAAGAATCATCACATGGAAGTAACGTGCAATTTGGTTATTTTGCAATCTCATTTCAGTTTTATTTTTATGGGATGGCAAATGAGCAGACGTATTAACTGATGGTAAGCAAACTGCGAAAATAGATACATACATAATCTTCAAGGACGTAAGAACTTGAAGATTGGGGGAAGTTGGGAATGGAGTGGGTCAAAGTTGGACCTCTGTAACTGCACAAACTTTATTTGCCCGTTACCTACGTTGATAAACCAATTTGAGTTCCTCTTACTATTATTAAACACTTATCTAGCTTCTATCATAATCATGCTTTGAATCATACATCTCACTTAAGACATGAGAAGGAATGTTCATGATCAAGGAAGCAGCTGCTTTTGGGAATAAGTATTTTACTTACACGTTAGCCATATACATGTGATGTCCAGGCGGAACAGACACCTTGTAATACCGATCCAAGTTATAATTCTTTAATAAGTAAAGACAACTAGTGACATCCCACATATACGTATGAACTAAGTCCCTTTCCCGCCATTGGTGGTGTTGCCAACCTCCATAAAAGTTCCTGCTTTGGTAGGAATTATAATACGGCATTATTAATAGTTGACATCTATAATTCAATCTGTCTTTGTATTCGGCGGTAAGTTTTAGTAGTTTAGCGAATAGTTTTATTTCTCTAGCGACCTCTGTTTGGAATGGAGTGTGGTAACCCTCTCTATACGGCCATATTAAAAAGCATTCTGCGTTCAAACGTTGTGATACTTCTAAACACCGTTTTATTTGAGTGGCGGCTTGAATGAATGTGGATGCGTCGTTGCTTGTAAAGGCACCTGATAAGTATCTGAAAGAGATATATTTTTATGGAATATCACACTGGCAATAAAGTTATTATTCTGTACCTATTCAAGGATGGTCGTAGGGATTCTTAAACTGCCATATACCTGGGATGTGAATGCAAATCAGGAGCTATCCACAGCAGCTTGATATGGTATCTCTGCGTCAGTTCCTGAATGTACTCGGTGACGTCATCCCAGTGCGTCTTGTTCTCCTCCCAGTTCTCTGTGAAGGGCACCAGGTCAGAATCGAAGGCCGTCCAGTACTTGACTCCTAGTTTAGCGCAGAAGTCGAACATAGCTTTTATATGTCGCTTGTGATTGTCCACCGAGTCTGTGCCATCGTCCCAAGGCCGGGAATGTGTGGAACGACCGCATACGTCGGAACCTGAAAGCAATCGTTCCCTTGTCGATTCCATCTTAAAACTTGCTAGATGTACTTTAGGTTAGGTAATATTTCTATAGATGATACGTACCTATCGTAAAAGTATCTTACAATTCGCGTAGGACGGACGAGTGCTTTTTAAGATGATACGGTCATACAGCTAGGAATATTTTCTGATTTTACTTTATAAATTACTAACTTCCCCGCATTGTATGTAAATAAAAACCAGCCTATGTTTTATGTGATTGACCCAGGATATCACCTATCTACATACCAAAATTCAATTTTCTTTTAATAAATCTTTCCAGCCGTTTTCGCGTGAAAGAATAAACAAACATAATATGTATGTTATCCAACATATTTATAATATTGTAGCGACATCTAGCGCACTACATAAACAATACCACCAATCACGAGCAAGAGTCTACATCGCGCTATAAGAGTTTTCAACACAATTAACACCCATACAGATATCCCGACAACAACTGTCGGGCAGTAGCCCGCCAGGCACGAACACCTCGCCTGGTCGGAGGATCCTCCCTTTTCAATGGAGGATGAGGAACTTTCCACCCTGTTCCTCATACCTCTAAACTGGTGACCCCGAACATGAACATCAAGCAGCCTTCGTGCAACTACTTCATAGCCATGACGTCATCCTCGAGCTTTCAAGCAGCGAGTCTACAGTCAGCCAGCTTCCACGGCTACAACGGGTTCCCTGACCACCAGCATGCAGCCAACGCGCATTCCTGGTCAGCACCTACAGCCTCATCAGCAACTTCGGCACAGAGTACTGCACCGACCGGTCAGCAAGCAGAGACGTACTCCCTCTCCTGGTCGACGCAGCAGCTAGCCACTCTTCAGCACCTACAGCCTCATCAGCAACTTCGGCACAGCATACTGCACCGGCCGGTCAGCAAGCAGAGACGTACTCCCTCTCCTGGCCGACGCAGCAGCTAGCCACTCTTCAGCACTGCACCACCCGACTCACTGGGGCATCTTCGCAGACAGATTCGACGCACTGAAACCATCAACTGGCTCGACAAGCATCTCACAAACGTCTCAACCAGCTAACGACCTCCGGTCTCGGAGGGGAGTGATGTAGCGACATCTAGCGCACTACATAAACAATACCACCAATCACGAGCAAGAGTCTACATCGCGCTATAAGAGTTTTCAACACAATTAACACCCATACAGATATCCCGACAACAACTGTCGGGCAGTAGCCCGCCAGGCACGAACACCTCGCCTGGTCGGAGGATCCTCCCTTTTCAATGGAGGATGAGGAACTTTCCACCCTGTTCCTCATACCTCTAAAATATTATTATAAATGTGAAAGTAGCATAGTAGGATTAGTAAGATTTAGTAGGGTTGGTAGGATAAGCTGCAAACAAAGATGACTTAGAATTTCGAAAAAGAAATCATGATTTCACTAGTCTTATAAACTGAGGTAGACAACAATTGCTGTAGAATAATATCCAGGTATCTCGTACCATTGCTTCTGAAGTCAGTGAGCGACACGCTGTACTTGAGCCAGTCGTCCATGGGCCGCGAGTGCACGCGCTCCGAGCTGTTGTAGTACCGGTAGCTGGCGCTCTCAGCTGGGGATGCCATGTTGTTGTACTCTACCTTCTCTATACCTGAGAAAGCCATTTTATTTATTCATGATCAGCCTATAAGTGCCCACTGCTGAGCAGAGGCCTCTTCTAACGCGGAAAGGGTTAGGCATTAATCACTGCGCTTGCTCAAGTCAAATTGGTGATTCAAAACGTATAATAATTTTTTCACGATTTTTTTCCTTTACCGTTTGTCTGTGGTGTCAAAATAAACACATCCTTCCCCTTCCTCATCTTTCCCCAATCTCTAATCCTCAAAAAGCCTCGTCTGATGTTGCGGGTGTCCTTGGGCAGTGCTTATGCTTACAATCAGATAATCCGTAGGCTCTATTATTATTAGCAGAAGATAGATTAATACGGACTAATAATTTGTTATTTTCACGGCTGATCTTGCAAATAAGTAACAAAATAAATACCTTGAAAATAGTCAACATTGTCGGTTCTGGGTTCTCGAACTTTCTGCCGCTTAGCCGTTGGCTGGTTGTACGCAGACATCTTGGACACTCTTTCTAAACAAGAAGGTTATATTTATGATATATTCTGACTTTAAAATGGATCAAAAAAAGATCTCTCTTAGTCTTAACCAAAAGTAATTTAACTAAATTTCTAAAAAAATCCTTCGTTTTAATAGGTATTTTACCCAAAATCATTTTCGAAAAAGTATACATTTCACTTACCTTTTTATTTTTCAGTTAAAAAAGGGTGTCTTGTTCACAGCAGACAGACAGATAGACAGACAGAACAACGACCGTGTCGGCTTGGTTTATATAACGTTGTGTGAATGGAGTCACCCGGGCGTGGTGTAGCGCGGCCTTTGTGTGGCGAACAAATGGACATCTTTTGTTTGTTTAAACTTTATACAGTAATGTTTTAATTTTACTCTACGAGGGTACTAACAAGGATTATAGTAACTTTATATCGTCCTTATAATGTTACTGTGTAAGGAACCCAAGAATATTTGGAATAAAATGAAACTTAACACTTATTTTTTACAGCGTTACGATTGAGGTTATATTTTTATTGAACTTTTATTCAAACCGTTATTTTTTAAATATAAGTAGACGAAATTCTTGTAAATGCAATACAATGAAAAAACAATCGTTATAAAATAACTTGCGTGACAAAAATTAACAGTGGTTAGTTTAAACAAAAAAACAAGGTTCATAAGTATTTTAGTGTCAAGGGAAAAATGCACTAACTGCAGTCTGCATCATAAACCAAAGAAAAAAATCATAAATAAAACAAATATTGTAACGTCCTTAGAACTATATTTTATACATAAGTATTATAAAAATATCCAGATCAGCTTAAAAACAACAGCAACAATCAGCAATACGATAGGCAGCGGCAGTGGAACTTTGCCGCCATTTTTGACAGTTTGAACCTCCGTAACACCAGAGACAACACCTTTCTTCAATGGAGCAGTTAGACCGGCCATCTTGGGTTTGTCTATGGGCTCACCCATCATAGAGAATTTGGTCGCACTGGTAATTTTCACAGTCAACATCTTCCCCATATATTTCTCTTCTTTAGGCACTAAAACTTGCTCATAATATTCGTTGTGGGCCACGAAGTAATTTTTGTCATGTGATATGTCCGTGACTAGTACTTCTTGTATCTCGCCCACTTTGTGGCCGTACGGTTCATATGATCGGAATAACTCGGATAGCTTCTTTGTGCGTTTCTTTACTTCTTGTGTTGGGACCTGTGGGGTAAAAGTATTGATTAATTAACAATGATTATTAATCTTTCAAAGAGATGAGGAGTATTTTTGTTCCATGGAGCGCCAACCGTGCACATGTCAGGCTTCGTGAATTGGGCCTTGTTAGGTTGCACTATCATAATTATTGGTAGGTAGGTATTATTGGCAGAAGCCAATGGTGGCAGGAAGTTCTTACAAAAAGAAATCCTGGACTTTATACCAGACTATAATAAGCTGTATCTACATCATCCACATCTACTATCAGCAGCAGGTACAGGTACAGGTAACAGGTATCGTCAGCTCGTTTGCTTGTTTTCCGAGTTATATGTACTTTCTGTGATTATTTAGATACCACTGACATACGGTGAAGGAAAACATCGTGAGAAAACCTGAACTTATTATTTCTAATTATAAGTTTGAAATTGCCAATCCGCCTTGAAAATACGTGGTGATTAATGCTCAATCCTTCTCCGTGTAAGAAGAGGCCTTTGCACAGCAGTGGGCACTTATAGGCTGATGATGATGAATCGTACTTACTTTAGTCATTTTAGCGGCGGGTGTGCCAGGCCGGGCAAAGAACTGGTTGATGAACAGTGAAGGGAACCGATACTTGTCGCAGAGCTTCATCGTGTCTTCAAAGTCTTCTTCCGTCTCTCCGGGGAAGCCACAGATTATGTCTGTTGCTATCGTAATACCTGGCACTCTGAAATACACGATTTTCTGCATTAGCCAAGTAGTAAGTATAGTATAGTACATCTAAGAAATTATTCGACAGTTTCGATATCTTTAAGAACTCAATATAGCGAGTTTACTTAAATTTTTGTTAAATTTATGGATAAACATGTGCAAGTCGGAATCACACACGAAGGACTATGATATTATTTCACTTACTTTTCTCTAAGAAAGTCGACAACCTTTTCGAAGTCAGCTCGCGTGTATTCTCTCTTCATGTCGGAGAGTACCTGGTCGCTGCCTGACTGAACCGGCACGTGAAGGAACCTAGAATATTATGTTGTTACAATTAGGTAAAAAAAAGGAAAATTAAATTTGCAAAGGTTTCAGACACGGGCATAATTATTTTCATTCGACAACTTGGATAGATAGCACTCTGTAAAAGAAACTGTTACATAATTCCTTATTGTTAGTTGATACCTTTGAGCCTGGCAATTTCAGAACTCTTTGCTAATAAAACAAAATTACTGATTAATGATTGATACTTAATTCCCCACTCACTTGTAAACCCTAGGATGGTGCATGATCTTGGCAACTTCAGCGAGGTGCTCCAGTATGTAGGGCGGGTTGGTCATGCCGAGCCGGAGCCGGCAACCCTCGGGGATCACTTCCACCAGCTTCCATAGTAGTTCTGGTAGAGACGTGCCGATGTCGCGGCCGTATGTACCTAGAACATAAATATCAAAATTTAATACTTAGTTACTCATTATTATATTGTTCATACTCGTTCTTTCCTTTTTTTTTATTTGGAGTAGGTACGTAAAAACATAGCATAGCATTGATACAGTAGGCTGCGCGACATCGCCGCGTCCGCGCACGCTGCTCATGCGGTATAACCTCTCTGTGGTTCGAAACTAGTACTTAGAGCTTTTCTCAACACGTCAGTAAGCCGCGATTTTTAGTTAACGCA